TATCTGTTGTTGTGGTTGTATCTGTTGTTGTGGTTGTATCTGTTGTTGTGGTTTTAGCTTTTGTTGTGGTCGTTCTTCTACTTCTTGGGTGAATTTTTTTTTCCATTTATCGGATTCTTTACCTATATTCGCATGTACCTTTCTTTTATTGGGATCTTGCTTTTGTTGGGTATTTCTCAGCATTTCTAAATTTGCTTCTTTACTTGGATCATCTCTGGAAGGAGTAGCAAGTTTACTCTCCACGACTTTATCCCATTGTTTAAACATTTTATCTCTGCCATCTAACATCTCAGATCTTTCTTCGTCTTTTGCTGATTTTTTAGAAAGTTCAATGCCAAGTGGTTTAGTAATTTTGTTTTCATCCTTTAACTTTTTATTTTGCATTGTTTTTTCCCAAGCTGAGATTGTACCTTTTTCATATTTATGGGAAATATTTTCCTTGTGTTCGGGGCTTTCAGTTTGATATTGAGGAGGAGCTACAGGAGTCTGGTATTCTGCATTTACAGATGGTGTCTTATTAGGAGAGTAAGCTCCTTCACCGATTTGCTCAACATTTTGTTGCTGGTGCATACTTTCGAACTGTTGCATTTCTGCTGGGTGCATTTCTCCTGGGTGTTCTCCCTCTTGGTGGATATGTTCTGGGGGAACTTCCTCTTGAGAGGGTTTTTCTCGGTATAACTTTTCTTTTTGTATTATTTCTTCTGGGGGTACTTCTTCGGTGTAGATATGTTCGGGATGGAATTCATCAAGTTGCATTTCTTCCCTTTCCACTGGGACTTTTTTCATTGGAATCTTCTTCATTTCTGGTTTTCCTATCGGGACGCTCTTCATTTCGGGTTTTATCATTGGAACGCTTTTCATTTCAGGTTTTTCCATTGGGACGTTTTTCATTTCGAATTTTACCATTGTGACGGTTTTCACTGGAGGTTTTACTATCGGGACGCTCTTCATTTCGGGTTTTTCCATTGGGACGCTTTTCATTTCGGGTTTTCCTATTGGGACGCTTTTCATTTCGG